CTGACCGGCGCCTTCCGCGTCCCGCGCCGCCCCTCCCCCACGCGTGGCGGCGGCGCGCGCCCCTGTCCCCGCGTGCACGCGCGGCGGGCGGCGGGCGGGCGCCCGGCGCTCGGGCGTGTGCGAGGCGTGAGGTGGAGATGGGGGCGGAGGGAGCTGGAGCTGTCACAGGCCCCGGGTCCGCCTGACCGAGCCAAGTGGGGTGTCATGGCCGCGGGGGGCAGCGGCTGCACTTCCTCTGCGGGCGGCGGCGGCAGCGGCCGGGGAGTTAATCCTCGACGCTCGGGTCGGTGTGTGTGTATTTGTGTTCGGTGTGTTCGCGGCGGGAGGAAGCGGGGGTGGGACCGGGTCCCACCGAGAAGCTGGAGCAGGGGTCGCTCTTGTTCCCTCCGGGGATTTGCCGGAGCCGCCGCCTCGCCGAGAGTCCCGTCCGCCCCCCGCCTCCCGGACCTCGGGCCGCTTCGGGTGGCCTTTTCCCCGCGGGCAGGAGGGAGTGTGGACAGGGGCGTCCCGGGAGGGGCCGTCAGGCAGAGCTGCGCCTCTCACACTGTGTGTTTTGTCTGTTTTTCTCTCCCAAGGTCCCGTTTCCCTCTGTGCGGCGGCCGGCGGGACCATAAGGGCTTAACTCATATATTTAACCCCCCTCCAAAAAGTAAGTGGCCCGTGTGGTGTCTCCGCTCCGCCCGCCGCCCCTTAGCCCCAGTCGGTCCTGTGTCTGACTCTCCTGTCCTCCAGCATTGTTATTTCCCCATCTTTGCTTTAGTGCTGCTGATCTGTGGGGAAATGCTCTCTCGTCGTCCTCCGTCCCCCACGCCCAGTCCTCGGGGAGGCCCAGAATTCCAACCCCTCCCACCCCTACCCCACCGTGGGGAATATTGGGAACCAGGTCTTCCCCAGCATATTCTAGGAGATTCCGTTCGCTTGGGCCCCTCATCCCCTCCTTCCCGACAGGGTTTCGTTGGAAGGAATTATGCAAATCCTGCTTTCTGGTGTCCATTCAGCGGCAATTTCATGCGGTGAGAAGTTCTCTTTGTTGTGCGAGGGGGAGAACAGACACTGATTTAATAGACATATCTGTTGGGGGGAAGGGTGGAGGGGGTGTGGAGAAGCTCAGTTTGGAAGAATTACAGCACTTGGTTAGCTCAGTGTCTTTGTGTTTGAGCTTTCTGGCTTGACAGGAGGGTATGCCCTTTACAATGTCCCACAAGAGATGTTTTCTGTAATAGATTAAAAAACAAAATTGAAACTTCAAACAAGTGAAAAATAAGGTAACCTTTACTTGGAGAATATAAGCCTTTCCATTTATGCGGTGTTTCGTTATGAAAATGTATGTGAATTTTAAGACTTTCGATTGTAGTAACATCAAAATAAATATAGGCAACAATGCTTTGGTATCTGATATAACTTTGGTTGTCCAAAGGTTAAAAGTACGTTTTAAAATATATACTTGTTTATGTATAACAATAGTAAAGGCATAAATCCATTTTTTGGTGTAATTTGTCTTGTGTATATATTTTAAAATTTCCCTCCTGCCAATCCAAGCCCAGCTCTGCCCTCCAGGAATCAGCCTTTTGGTAATCAGTTATCATTTACTCTGTCTCTACTTGTTTTATTTTTTTTCAAATCTACAATACGTTTGCTTTAGCGTTTTTTGAATTATGTTATTTGTAATCATCATATAAAAGATCTTGTAAAGGCATGTAGGAGGTTTTGAGAAGCATGAAATTTATGAGTTTTCAGAAGTGTGTTAATACAAAATCTTGAAATTATTTTGAAGAATTTAGTTCTTGTATTTGTTTCACTTTTTAAATGATTCTTTTCAGTAGGGCTTTTTAGTTTTTAAAAGATTTTGAAATTGACAGCTATAACCTTATAGATTTCTCAAGTTACTGTTGCTTTAGTTTGTTTAGATGGTTGTTTATCTTTTTCTAATTCTGTTTGCTCTAAATTCTTGGTTTCTACCTCAGTCCCCCATTTTATCAGTCATTGGTTAGTGTTAGTGGTTAAGTTACTGTGGCTACACGAGGTTTTTGACTATTAAAACCCTTCTATAAATATGTGAGTTGAATATCAAATTTTAGATTCATTTTTTTGAGAGAGGATTTTAATTTGGTGTTCACTTTTCTAAAAGCATACTTGTAACTCCAAATTTCCACTCTCCAGGTAGTAAAGTTCAGGAGATTATTTAGAGTCCATAGTGCAGATCGGTATTTTAATCTGAGCAGTAATTTATAGTTGATAGTCTCCCAACTAAAATCAATTAGGTCTCATATTTTCCCTTTTATCATATGTGATTTTGTTCTTTAACAAGAGGGTTCCAAGTAAATCAGTTGTAATGTTAACTTTCTATATGTAAGAGAGCTGGCAATGATCCTTATTTATGTACAATCCAAAAGGCAACTTTGTCATTAGCATATGTAATAATTCCTTTTATTTTAATGGGATTGGTTCTGAACAGTTAACCTTCTATTTGATTCTCTTGACTGATTATCTTAATGCTTTAGGGTCATTGGTTTATAAATGATACTTAATTTGTAGCAGTCTTTCGATTAAAAGTGACTTCTCACTCATTTCCAAAATCTAATTCTCCCTTCTACTTTTCTTTGGAGGGAAGTGGGGGTCAGGATTGTGGAGGTGCATATGGAGATATTTGGTGTTTCCATTATTAGGTTTTAGTTAAATTGGAGTTAGCAGGTTAAGACAGTGATTATGATCAAGATGGATATTTGGTAACCAGGTGATTATTGAGGCATCCTCTGGGACTGGGACGGTTGTTCATTCCAGGAAGATTGAGGTTCTCTCTGCTGCCTGATATGATGTAACCTATTGCTTGGCTACTCTTCATACTACTATATTCTCAAAAAGCTTTTCCCAGTGTGTGGAAAGTTGTGATGATTTCAGCTTAGCTCTAGCTTGGCCAAAAAAGGATAGCAGGTTGAGTCTTACTTAAGAGTTATTTCCAATTGAGCTAATTCCCTCAAATGTGCTTATAATTGGAGCAATTTTAGGAAGCCTGTGAATAATGCAATTTTTTTTTTTAGCCTTATTGGGCTGCACAGGATGGCATGGAATTTCTTCCAGAGTGAAAATTAGGTATTCATTGTCTGTGAGGACTTGCCACTTCTGAATACTTGCCTAATTACTTAGCTACTTGTATTAGTGCTGTTTTTAGGACCAAAAAGCAGTTAGGTAAATGCATACTTACTTCATTTAGATACATACTAAGCGTCTGCCTTATATCAGGCATTGTGGGCGAACAGAGATATTGGGGACTAACCTTCAGGAACTTATAGTCCTTAGAAGAAATATAGTGTATTCAGCACAAGGCAAAATGTACCATACAGTGGTACAAGGAAGTGCTGGGGATGTTTAGAAGTGAAAGAAATTGCTTGAGATGATGAAAGGAGGCTTCATGAAGAAGGTGGCAGATTTTTGCTTCATTTTGATGAAAATGGAAAAAGCATTCCTGTCATGTGAAACAAATAAGCAACAATGCAAAATGACAAGAATGAGTTATCTAAACTGCAGTCTGATTTGTGTAGGAGACATATATAGGTGATCGGATTCAGAGATAGCTAGTTGGATTTTCTAATGTAAGTTAAAATGGATTCTCTTTGTTAGGCAATTTGGGATTTTCAACACACATCTCTCCTTAGCTCAGAGGAGGAATGTTTTTTAAAAATTCCATTGTGAAACTCTACAATAATGACATAAATTTTTAAAAAATCCCCTTGCAGAGACTATTGTCATCCACTATAGCATCTCTTCTTAAGTAAGCTCATTTGGAGGCTGTATCTTATTCTCTTGCACAGAACTCATAATTGGAATTGCCTAAAATCAGTGGCATATTCATTCTTTGAATACCCTTAATGGCAAATTTTTATCCTTAGAGGTTGAATTTGGTATTTGGAAACTGTAAAATATTTTCTATGGCAAATAAAGGTGTATATATAAAATAGTGAGATTTGTTTTCTTTCCTGGTTTGCGAACTGGGCCTGCAAGCTCAGCAAAGAAGCTTGATTTGTTTTAATGTACCTCTGAACTCCTCTCTTGTTTCTTATTTCCTTTATGTGTACCCATCTGCTGAACAGAATCTGGATATTGGGTAGACGTGAATGAATAAAGCTGTTATTTTTTAAGTTAAAGACCTACCATCACTACTTTCCAAATTATCTTTACTCTATTTGCAAATATTTAAAAAATCTTTTTACTGTTCCTTACACTTGCACGTTGCTTTGGGGATAATTCCATTGTGAACTACTAGCTAATTTTATTAACTGTCTTTTGTATGCAGGAAATACCCCAAGTCCAGTGGCCCATACCCTTAATTTTTTTCTTTTTTTAAACTGAGATGTCATTTACATATCAAAATTCACTCTCAACGTATACAATTCAGTAGTTTTTAGTTTATTCACAAGGTTGTGCAAACATCATTATCTAAATCTATAACAGTTTCATACCCAAAAAAGAAGCCCTGTACCTATTAGAAGTCATTTCTCATTCCTCCTATGACCCAGTCCTTGGAAACCTTTAATCTACTTTCTGTTTCTGTGGATTTGCCTATTTTGGACATGTCATATAAATGTAATCATATTATATGTGCCCTTTGTTTCTGTCTTCTTCACATGTTTTTAAGGCTCATCCATGTAGTAGCATGTATCAGCGCCATATTGCTTTTTATGGCTAAATAATATTGCATTGTATGGACATACTACATTTTGTATATCCATTTATCAGTTGTCAGACATTTGAGTTGTTTCCACTTTTTGCCTATTATGAATAATACTGCTGTGAATGTTAGTGCTTTCTTTGTGTGGACATTTGTTTTCACCTCTTTTTTGGGGGGGGGGAATGCTTAAGAATGAAATTACTGGGTCATATAATAACTTAACTTTCTGAGGAATGGCCAAACTGTTTTCCAAAGCAGCTGCAATATTTTATATTCCCACCAGCATTGTATGAGAATTTCAGTGTCTCCACACCCTTGTCTGCACTTGTTATTGTCTGTCTGTTTTGATTGTAGCCATCCTGGTGAGTAGGTATGAAGTAGTATCTCATGTGGTTTTGATTTGCATTTCCTTAATGACCACTGAATTCAAGCGTCTTTTCTTGTGCTTGTTGGCCGTTTGTTTATCTTCCTTGAAGAAATGTCTGTTCAGTTCCTTTGCCCATTGTTATTTGTCTCTTTATTATTGAGTTGTAAGAGTAAATTTTAGATACTAGATCCCTATCAATATATGATTTGCAAACATTTTTTTCTCTTAATACTCTCAGTTTGAGAATCATTACAGATTAGAAGATTATCTGCAGTATATTTTGTGAAGGGAAAAATGAATATGGTAATAGAGTAGTCAGAATGAACCACAATTACTTAGGAAAGGCTTCTTTTAACATCCTTTTCTATGAATCATTAAAATTGTTATTTGATGGAGTTTTGTAATAACACAGATATACTTTGCTATCCAAGCCTTCTAAGTTCTTGTTATCCAAATCTTATTTTATAGTGAGGGTTCATATTTAAAGTTCAAATAACATAAAACGCATTATCTGAATCCGTTCTATGCCTGAGTTTTAAATAGTGAATAACAAAAGCCTGGGTGGAAAGGGTTATCTTTACTCAATGTAGACATATTGTCTGAATCTGGTCTAATTCTAGTATTCATGATGTTACCATCTTATATGCATAACACATTTTATATTTTTTAGAAAACTTTCATATTATTTTATTGTCTTTATTTAGAAATGTAGAAAGATAAAGATGGGTATTAAGAAACAATTGGTCAGTTGGGAAATATTGAGTAATAACTCCTGTTAAAATAATCAGGGGATTTCCCTTAGCATAAATGCGTCCCTCTTATCCACAGAAATAATTTTATGATATTTAAGTGTTTGAAATAGTTACCTGACTTTTCATGTAAAAGTAAAACACAGAATTGAACTCTTCCAGAAGCAGACTTTTTAACTTAATTTGTTCTAATTGCTCTGTGAAATTGCGGTGTAGTTTTCTACATCTGTT